TGTGTGTTTGTATGTCTGTGTGTGTACAATGTGTGTGTGTATGGTGTATGTGCTGTAGGCGCAGTCAGTTCATACCAACAGATAAATCTCTAGCATTCGGAATAATTCGGATGCTTTTTACCGTCCTTTATGGAAAACCTCAGAGGTAGGTAACGAAAACACCAACTAGAGTTGTCTATTTTTTTCCTATCTTCTATGGAGAGGCTTAATATTCTTTCTTGCTGTGGGTGGATTTGCTATATACAGAGATATATTCAGGCAAAGTTTTACTTAAAGAGAAATAAATGCAAAACATTTTCCATCTGGGTCTTCAGAAATGAAAACATGAATATATTTGGCAAATAAATATGAGCAGAGTCACACGGATAAAGAAATGGTGCCGAGATGGGAGAGGATACTATGAGAATTTCATATGTAAACTGAACAATGCCCCAGCCCTTGATTTTTGTTACCAGCATGAAGGTACTTCTGGATACATCCATGGATAACAGTTTGACCCATCTTTTGACTTTATTTTCAAATGCAAACACTGACTGTGACCTTCGTCGCCATTAAATCAAAGGGAACATAACATATAAGTCAAGTATTTGCACCATGTTGGGGGAGAAATGAATCACTGCAGGGCTGGGGAGGAGCGGGGGGAGGCCCTGTGTTTGCTTGATTTTTAAATATGGTGATTCTAATGGTGCTCCAACCATCTGTGCCTGGTGTTCTTGTGTCAGAGATTGTGTGAAACCCAGGCAGGGCCCTGGCACAGGCAGGGACAGCCGCTCTCCGTGTCCGAGTGGAGCCTCGGTGCTCATACATGGCTCCGGGTGGCCTCATTTTGTGTGACATGATCTCCCCTCCCCCACAGGCTGCTGCCTCGCTGAATTCCAATGAAGCTTTATCTGACTGCATTGCAGCTTTTTATATAAGAGCATTTAGACCCTCTCACACATGGTACTCACATGCGCACACACATGCACATTTCAACACACCCTGCTCCCATGCCCGGTATTAAAGCTACAGGATTTTTTCAAATATCTGAGCCTCATAAATAACACATTAAACAAACCAATTCTCAACACACAGGACCTGGCATCACTGCAAAGCAGAAGTGCTTTAAGCTGTCTGCCTGGCACTATAAACCTTCAGCGTTAAGAAAGCATTTAATTAAATCCCACACATCAATCCTTTAAAACATCTCTCTGTCAAACCCACGCTGTCACACTCGCTGATGCACATACTGGCAACACTCATAGAATCATAGACATGTCGGGCTGGAAGGGACCTTGAGAGGTCATCGAGTCCAGCCCCCTGTGCTGAGTCAGGACCAAGTAAACCGAGACCATCCCAGAGGTGTTTGTCCCACCTGTTCTTAAACCCCCCATGACAGGGATTCCACAACCTCCCTTGGAAGCTTATTCCAGAGCTTACCTACCCTTAGAGTTAGAAAGTTTTTACACATGCGCATACTCACACACACACCAGTATACTTTCTTGCTTAACTCCCCTTCCTCCCCACACTGGAAATCTACACAGAGAGGCTGGGCTTTTGGAAGCCGGCTGAGTCTGTCACACCCTCTGGGGCTCCATGTTCACACTTGACTCACACCATGAGCTGAGCAAATAATGGATTTTTCCATTCTTCCCTCCCCCTTCCCCCCATGAATCCCACTGCACCATCTTCCAAAGGCCAGGCAGGGCTGTCTGACATGGCAAATGCCAATGCTTCATCCAGCCCAGCCTCCCTGGCAGTGATGCCTGGATTACTCCCGCTACTGCCGCATAATGCAGGGACAGAGGGAGCTGTGCTTGTATTTAGGGAATTTAGTAGGAGGCTGTTTATTTGTCCCTAGTTTGAAACTGAGCAGATTAAGGATTTAACCTCCAGAACATCAGCTACTGAGATTTTCTTTATTATTTGCTGAGTACAGGGCATGGAATTCCCCTTCTGCAACTGTCACTTGATTTCTAATTGCTGCAAAAGACAAGCGCCCTATTGCTTGTCCATAACTGAAGGGGCAGGGGAAGGGGGTCTGCACATTTATCTCTTAATTTACAAAGGAAGCTTAGTATAGCTGGTAATAACATCAAAATAAAAAAAGCTCCTCCCAGCCTGCAAGGCTCTGAGCTCTGCACAGACTATGGAGGCATCTGTACCGACACCGTAGTTAAGGCTGCATTGAGGCTGGCTGTTAAAGCAGAACTAAGATCCCTTTGGCACAATAACTCTGCAGGGCACAATTACATTTGCTATCTATTTTTTCAGGTAAAATATGTTCTAACTTCTGCAAAGGACATTTTTTTGAATGCTCATTTTTGCCGTGTTCCGTTTGCTTCACATTTTGGGGGGTTCTTGGGTTCTCTGCCTAAACAACCCACAGACTTTTCACAAATATATGTACACACATGCACATCTATACACATGTACTCCTGCACATACATGTGTATATACACACACACACATGTACACACATGAACACATACGCACACATATACACACAGAGAGATAATATCCTGGACATTTTAAATTTTTAAAATTAAGCATAGGTACTCCCAGGGCTGTCTCTGGTGGATTTGCAGAGGGAGGGGGAGAGGCGGGGTGGGGGATGGAGTGAATGAAGCAGAGGGGAGAGTAGCTGATCGTTTTGGTTCAAATAGTAATTGGATATGGCCCAATTTTCCAAACAAATACTATGGAAATGTCTGGAGGCCAAGGAAAGTCAGAGAAATGTACAGAAGACGTATTCAAAAGAAGCAAGGAGAAACCAGCAGGAAGGATAATGTTCATGAACCATTGGATTGCACCAGGAACAATTTACATAGCTGCATCACTGAAAAAGGTACTTCCTTCCTTAGAAATTTATGCAGATAGCTCATTAGAACAGCAAAGGGGCTGTTTTCATGTGTACTAATCAGGTAAAGGGCACAGTTTTGAGGGTAATTTAGAATGCAAGTAGGGATTTGAGGTTCTTTAAAATATCTATCTATCTATCTATCTATCTATCTATCTATCTATCTATCTGGTTCCTGAAATCCAACCACCAGATAGGGATCAAATCAGCAGACAAAGGGGGTGCCATTGTCATCCTCAGCCATGATGACTACATAGAATCATAGAATATTAGGGTTGGAAGAGACCTCAGGAGGTCATCTAGTCTAATCCCCTGCTCAAAGCAGGACCAACACCAACTAAATCGTCCCAGCCAGGGCTTTGTCAAGCCGGGCCTTAAAAACCTCTAAGGATGGAGATTCCACCACCTCCCTAGGGAACCCAGTCCAGTGCTTCACCACCCTCCTAGTGAAATAGTGTTTCCTAATATCCAACCTAGACCTCCCCCACTGCAACTTGAGACCATTGCTTCTTGCTCTGTCATCTGCCACCACGGAGAACATCAATGAGGCCAACCGACAATTCTCTGGCACCACCTACTACAAAGGACTCAAAGACGACCCTCACACCACAATTCACACAGAAATTTAACAATATAATCAAATCCTTCCCTAAACTCCAAGAGAAACTCTATAACCTCATCCCCCATGAAGCCACCCCAGGGACCTTCTACATGTTTCCTAAGACATGCAAACAAGGGAACCCAGGCAGGCCCATCATACTTGACCACAGCACTCTTACTGAAGGAATAACAGGACTTATAGAAACTGTCCTCAGACTCACCACACAAAGGGCCAATTTCCTCCAGGTCACAACCAATTTCCTCAAGAAACTCTGCAATATTAACAACCTCCCTCAGAACAGCATCTTTGCCATCATGGATGTCACCTCCCTATACACCAACATCCCGCACCGTGACACATCACTGCCTGCCTTCAATATCTACAGAACTATGGGCAACACTCAGAAATCCACCCAAAACACATTGGCAAACTCATCCATTACATCCTCACCCATAACACCTTTACAGTCAACAACACCTTTTCCAAACCGTGAGAACAGGTTTGGAAAGAATGGCTCCCCAATATGTCACCTTCTTCATGGCTCACCTTGAGGAAGAATTTTTGGAAAAATGCAGCACTAAACCAATGGTATACCTGAGATACATCAATGATATATTCATCCTCAGGACAGATGACCTAAACTTCCTCATAAATTTTCATCACAACCTCAACAACCACCACCCATCCATCAAACTCTCTCTAGAACACTTCCACACCAGCACCCACTTCCTAGACACCATGGTCAGCTTGAACAATGAAACCCTACAGACAACTATATTCAAGAAACTATCACCACACCTACCATCACCACCTCAAACACACCAAGAAATCTGTTCTCTACAGCCAGGAACTCAGATACACAGAATATGCTGTGAGGAGAAAGTCTGGGATAGACATCTTAATACACTTAAAACCACCTTTTGCCAAACAAGGACTCTCTACTAGAGAAGTAGATAGCATCATGGAATGGGCCACCCAAATATTCCAAGAGAACCTGCTTTAATACAGAGAAGAAGAAAAACCTCCATCAACTGCACTCCCCTAGTTGTCACCTATCGCCCCACACTGGAACCCATCTGAGGTATCATCAAACAATTAAAACCCATACTTGATGGGGACCCCATCCTGAGCAAAATCTTTCCTGAACCCCTTCTTCTGGCCTTCAAAAAATGCCCCAACCTCACCAAGCTCATCATCAGAAGCAAGCTCCCTGCATGCCAGGACAGACCAACTCAAAGCAGCACCAGACCCTGCCAGAACAACAGCTGCAAAACCTGCAGCCATATCTCCACTGCTACAACGATCAACACCTCCCACAAGACACCTTTCAAGAACCATGAGTCCTACACATGCCTATCACATGTGGTGTACCTCATCCAGTGCATCAAAGGCGCCAACAACAACTGGGAGGGTGAAACCAGACAATCACTACGCTCTCGAATGAACTCACACAGAATAATGATAAGAGATAAAAACACCCTGTCACTCATGGTGAACACTTTTCACAGAGCGATCCCTCCATATCCGACCTTTCAGTCCTCATCCTCAAAGGAAACCCTGAACAACACCTTCAAAAGACGAGCCTGAGAGCTTAAATTCATAACTTTGCTAGACCCTGAGGCTATATCTACACTACAGCCTATGTCAGCAAAGCGTAGGTCGCTCGGGGTGTGAATATTGCACCCCGCTGAGTGACCTAAGTTACACCGGCATAAGAGTTCATGTGCATAGCGCTATGTCACCAGGAGAGCTTCTCCCACCACGGAGCTTATGCCGCTCATGGAGGTGGGTTTTTTATGCCGACGGGAGAGCTCTCTCCTATCAGCATACGGCTAGGCTGCAGCACTGTGCATAGATAAACATGGCCTTAAAAATGGGCTCAGTAGCGATGCTAGTTTTATGTCTTATTACAACAATATGTGATCCCCCAACCCTCCTTTGTCCTCTGACCACAGAGGTGATAATTGTCCACTTCATCTCGAATGGTCTCTTGCAACATGTGTTAATTCCTTATGCTTAACAAGCTGTTTCAGCTCATATTTAGCGGTGACACTCTGATTACCTTTCCCAGACATGAAGAAGAGCTCTGTGTAGCTTGAAATCTTGTCTCTCTCACCCACCTTCTATCGATCTATCGATCTATCATCATGATAGCTAAATATCAATTGAAAAGATGGAATTTATTAATCTTGCCACATGGGGCAGGCATAAATAGTGCGCAGTACTGCAGGACAAGTGTCAGGGGGGAGCCGTGTTAGTCTGGATCCACAAAAACGAGGAGTTTGGTGGCACCTTTAAGACTAACAGATTTATTTGGGCATAAGCTTTCGTGGGTAAAAAACCCACTTCTTCAGATGCATAGAGTGAAAATTACAGATACAGGCATAGATATACTGGCACATGAAGAGAAGTTACCTTACAAATGGAGAACCAGTGTATACTGCAGGACAGTATATCGTGCACTGACAGCATTGTTTCATCATTTGCCTGATCACATGTGTTAGTTTCACACTTGTGAAAAGGCCAATGCACCTCTTAATTCTCACTTAAACCCTATTTGAGGTTGTAGGTGGGGCTAAGAGGTGTGTGCTCCTGGTCTGGCCCTCTGCACCCAGGTTGCCCTGAGACAACTTTTGCTCATTTTAAACAATGGAGATTTTTTGACTCGTGAATATCCAATAAGAGTGTGCTGCATTCCCAGCCCTGTGCTGAATGACACTGTCCAGTGATGCAATTTAATAACTCTTAATATCTATAGTTTCATAGTCAACTTGTCATAGATGTGGCCCAGTGATATTCCTCACCCTTTAGAAATGCCAGAGCTGTGGGTTATTCGGCCCAGCATACCACGGAATGGGCGGTGGCCTATGCCTTGGCACGGGGCACCTTTAGTAACGTTAACGTTCTTATTCTTTGACCTTAAGCATGAGCAGAATTTCAGTGTGTCAGCGAAGAATTTTGGAAAGAAATTTTTGCAAAATGGCCATTTTATGTTAGCAGCTGCCATAAATAATGCGCCGCATCTCCCCATTGAATGTGCTGAGGTCATGTGGCCAGGCTTTGGGGGGTTGGGTCCCAGAGATCAGGCTCCAGCCCAAGCCCAAATGTCTACACTGCAATGTTATAGCCCCACAGCCCGAGCCCCAGGAGCCAGAGTCAGCTACATAGGCCCCACAGCCCCTGAGCACCCACCGGCAGCCCCCCCGATCAGCTCCTCCCCCTCCCTCCCAGCCTCTCCCGCCCCCTGTGATCAGTATTCAGCAGCATGCAGGAGGCGCTGGGAGGTAGTGGAGGCATGAGGGTGGGGTGTACTCAGGGGAGGGGTGCAGAACAGGGCGGGGCAGAGGTGGGGACTTGGGGGGCAGAGCCTGGGGTGGAGCTGGGATCGAGCACCCCCTGGCAACTCGTAAAAACGGCGCCAATGGTCAGCTGTCACGGGCGGTTTACTGCAGTGCAGACAGACCCTGAGATATCCCAGCGCTTGAACTGCCCAGCATGAGCAGCTGCCAGCCTCCCTATTCCTCTGACTCCTCCCTGGCCCTTCCCAACTGTGTGGAAGGGATGTGTCTTTCCCCATTTCCTCCTGGGTCTGTGCTGCTTTCCGCTCCGTCAGTCGCTCCCTCCCGCTCTGCTTTCCCCATCTCCTGGGGCTGGCCCATGTACAATGCTAGCTGCGCTCAGCTCCCATTGCAGCCGGCTGGCGTCGAGGATGCTCTGCCCCTCGCAGGATTACGGCCTCTGTTCCACTTTGCCCTGGCGTGAACCACGCCCAGCTTGCCTCCGCTTCACAGCTCCTCATTCGCCCCTCTGTGCCGCGAGGGTCTGCCTTTAATCCGTCTCTCTTGGTGACAACGCTCCTCCTCCCGGCCACCCGGCCTCCCCCATCTGAGCTGCTTCTCTTGTCTTCCCTCCCTCCCACCCCCTCTCCCATCCTCACTTCTATCCCCATTAACAATTCCACTGTCCCTTCCGACTCCCAGGCTTTAATCTGGCTCTCCTCTTCCTCGGCATCTCTCCCGACATCCTGTCTCCCCTGTGTCCTGCTGCTGGACCCTCTTCAACGCCGTCCCAGCACTTCCTTCCCAAACTCTTTCCCTGCTAGGACCACATCTTGATGGCCTTTTGCCTTGAGCATTGCCACTCTAGACTGTCCTCCTGCTTCTCCTATCAGTCCAGCCAAAATGCCTGCTAATGTCATCGCCCTCATCCAGCTCGAGCCAGCAAACCCTCTGCCTTAGATCCCTCCCCTGACTACGCTCAGCATGAATTCCTCTCTCACCTGTCAGCCCTACAGCCCCATCTCTGCTTCCCTTCCCCTGCTCAGACCCTGTGCTCCTCTCAGTACTCTTGCTTTAGTCCTTCTTCCTCTCTTCCTTCCACTCCTTCTAACATGCTGCCCCCAAGAGTCGCCCTGTTTCCGGCAAGTGCACTTGCCTTCCTTAAACCCCATCTCAAAACCTGTTTCTTCCAGGCAGAAGGCGATCAAAGTTGGCTTGGGTATGTCTACACATGCTGCAGTCACAGCTCTGACTGCAATATAGATAGACCCTCAGACTGTAAATAGAGGTCCTCAATCTGTGGGGCACGCCCCCTTAGGGAGGAAGGGAGGAACGTTTGGGGGGGGCACGGCTGGGGCCCAGGCCAGCCCCTACGGAGGGTGGGGAGGGAATGCCACCCAGCTCCGCTCCTGGCCCCGGCCCCAGCTGCCAGCCCCACACCTCGGGTCCCAGCTGCCAGCCCCACATCTGGTGATCTGGCTGCTAGCCCCACTCCTGGGGCTCTGCTCCCGGCCGCAGCTGCCGGCCCCGCACCTGGGGCACTGGCTGCCGGCCTCAGCCAGACTCTCACCCCCACCTCCAGCGGTGGCCCCAGCCTCGGCCCCCTTACTGCTGGACAGTCCCCCCCTCCCAGAGCCATGGCCCCACTTCTGGCCCTGGCTCTGGGGTGCAGGGGGGGTGCAGACAGGGGTCAGGGGGGCACAAGGTAAAAAATGTGGGGACCACTGCTGTAAATGCTTTGGGGCAGAGAATGTGAAAATGTGTTTCACCATATGGGCTAGATCCTCAGCTGGTGCAAATTGGTCTCACGCCACTGACTTCAGTGCAGTTACACCCATTTACACCAGCTGGGGAGCTGGCCTACTGTTCGTCAAGCGCCAGGTACATTCGTGGGGCTGTACAAGTGATTTCATATTGGCCATCACATCAACCCTGCTTTGCTGAGAGAAAAGAAAGTAACTGAGACATATTTTTATCCATGTTTCTTCATGTCCTTACCTGAGTGCTGAGGAGTCTCCCATGTGCCTCCCCTCCCTTCCCTTTGCTTTTTGAGCTGTGTGCACGCTTAGCAGACAGCTGGCTGATTTGTTCTGTGTTGTGACTCCCTCTCCCTCTCTGTCTGTCTCTCGCTCGCTCGCTCTCATGGAATCCCAGCTGACCACTTTGTTTGTAATAGTCCTCAGAGGGGAATTAGAGTTGAGTATTAAATGTGTGGTTAAATAAATCGCATTACATAGTGTGACTGTAAGAGAGATGTTTCTCTTTAATCTGTAATCCACGAGAGTTATTGGCTTAGCTTGCCAAGCAGCCAAGCAGTGCATTTCCATTAAGATGAAACCCCAAACAGACCCATCTCTTCCTAATGGCCAGGGCTTCAGTCTAAGGGAAGAGGCAGCCTTTTCATACACGCCTTCCTCCATCTACCGAACCACCTCATGACATGTGTTGCTTATGCATTGTTTTATTATGTATATCTCCTGTTGTTTGAATGCCATGACCAGGTTAGCACTTGGCTACTTAATGTACAGAAAAGAAAAGGAAATTCACATTTCATGCTCATTCTGCTCCTATGAAATAATGTTTGTATCGTGTATCCTGTGTCCTACAGGTCTATGCAATATTAGTTAGTCACCCACCTGCTCCAAATGATCACCTAACACCAACACCTGTATCATACACAGCTGGCTTCTACAGGATTCCTGTCATTGGTCTGACAACACGCATGTCTATATATTCTGATAAGGTAACTGATGCATGTTTCCTAGTACATATCTCATATATGTGGTATAAATGAAGAACGTCCATCAGAAGTGACTAATGATTTCTGCACTACTTTCTCCAGAATACATCTATCTGTCTATCTATCTGTCTATCTATCTCCATACACCCCCTCCATCTATCTATCTATCTATCTATCTATCTATCTATCTATCTATCTATCTATCTATCTATCTATCTATCCCCATACACCCCCTCTATCTATCTATCTATCTATCTATCTATCTATCTATCTATCCTCTCCAGATTGATCTGATAACTCTCACTTTTTCTCTCCTACTCTGGCTCTCTCTGAATTCATTGGTTTTGATATCTCACAATGTTGACCTACATATCGCTGGATCATTTCTGCAGTGTTTCTCTGTCAGGCTGCTGGATTCACAGCTCTTTAGCTAAATCAAATGCAAGAACTAGCTCCTGAACTGCTGACTAATGACAGCCAGGAGCCTCCTGGGTGGTCCCTGGATGCTGGAGGAACTGCAGAGATGGAGGAGGACCCTAATACTGTCTATCCATTTGGCAGGAGCTCTTTTGGTCTTCAAGGTTGTTTGGATTTGTTCAGTCTGTGTGTGATTGGAGGGTAACACCGATGATGTTAGTTCTCCTCTGGTTTGAAATAACACCCAGCCTGCCCAGCAGCTAAGAAATAGCAAGTCAAGTTCCAAAGTACAGTCCCTGTCCCTGTGAAAGGAAGAGGTCCATTCACTTTGGGGTGAGATTCACTCCCTGGCAGAGGGCCAGGCAAGGGCTAGGTGCCGTTCATGTCTGACACCCCCCCTATTTCGAGGATGTAAGTGTGCCTTGCCTAGGCTTCGTGCTGCCCTCTGCAGAGAGGTGAATTTGATGCTTATGGCCACGTGCGGGGCAGTGTGGTGGGTGGCTCCTTCATCAGACACTCCTCACTTCAGGGCTGACCTTGTACAATGTCGTTCTTTTGTAAAAGCAAAGGCATCCCCCAGAGTCCTTGCAGAAGGGCGGTGAGATTCTCATGGTATTACAAACCTGAAGCTGGACCCATTTTCAGGTAGAACAGTGCTAAATGTATTGAGTAAAAATGAGTCTATTTCAAAGCTCAAAAGAGTCCATATTTCATATGCTGATGGCTTTTGCCTGGAAAATTTGAACATTTGCTGATGCAAATTTCAATGCAAAAATAGCCATTTCATCCACATTCCAAAGTTCAATCGGGGAGGAGCAACAGATTCACATGAAATGAAAGAGCAGAAGCTCAATGCACATCTCTTGTCACTCACATCTGAAGGCTGGTCATAGAATTGGAAGGGACCTCAGCTAGTCTAACCCCCCTGCTCAAAGCAGGACCAATCCCCAGACAGATTTTTGCCCTGATCCCTAAATGCCCCCCCTCAAGGCTTGAACTCACAACTCTGGGTTTAGTAGGCCAATGCGCAAACCACTGAGCTATCCCTCCCCCGCAAACTGCTACCCAAGCCCCAGTGAAAGTTCAACTCACGACCCCAGGTTTACAAGACCAATTCACTAACCCTTGAGCTATGGAGCCAGGCCTGGATCTACGGGTAAGGAGTGAATGTTCTCAGCCAGTTGCAACAGGCCATGTGTCCTCAAATAAACCCCAATTCCTCCCCCTGCAAAAAAACCCCTCCCCCATTATCTCAATTGCTACCTGGTTAGCAACTTCAGTCGAAAAACCACGGCCAAGCCTGATTAATGCTGGAGACTGAAATACCCCAAAGGTGAGCCCCAGTGACGGGCAGGGTGGGGCGCTATATTGCCACTACCCATCTTGTAACAGTTCTGTGGACAACCTTAATTCTTCAGAGCACTGGTTAAAGTTTAGTACAGCTGCCATAAGCAGGGTTGCAGTGGTGTCCGTTAACACTGATCCAAGAGCGTCCGTAGGCACCAGAATCTGGGATGTGATAAAGTCATGGGGGAGAATTGTCAGCAAGGGACAGCTGGATACTTTGGTGCTTCCGGCTAATGAGTGCTGAGTCTACAGTAATGCTGAATAGCTTGTGATGGGAGCACTGGTCAGACTTCACTGCCCGGCGTGGTGCCTGCCTGATGCTGTTAGGACAGGAGAAGAGACATGGGTGATGTTGAAAATTGGGAATTGCGTGGACTTCAGAGGAAAGTGCTATCAGAGGCTAGGAAATGTGTGGGGTGTTACAGCTGGAGAGGTGATGGGGTACCTGTATCCATGCCAGCCTCAAGGACATCCCATATGGGTTAGGAGGGGTCCTGCCAATTAAAAAGGCATTTTAATCGTGCAACTGATGCCAGGGATAGAGGGATATTCACTTATACATCAGTCTAGGGGTTTTTTTCTCAGCAGAGCTAATACTCACTGCAATGAATGATGTTTATTATAGCAGCAACTATAGTTAAGATGACTTGACACTTCCATTATAAGACCCTGTTTTCAGTTGCCAAAATGAAACTGTTCAGGCTGAAACTTACTAGGTGTCTGTCTCAGGCTAATATGTTGTTTGTTTGTTTGTTTAAGTTTCAGCAAAAGCAGTTCAGCCCTTTCTGAGAATGAGATTAGAGGAAAACACATTGTTCTTCCCATAATCAAAATGATAATACCGGTTTCATTTAAAAGCTGTAGTGCATCCATGATTTGTAGCACAGGTTTGAAACTAGACAACAGAGTCCACCTGGTGCCTTTTGGAGTTCGTGTGAAATTTGGCCGACTGGGGGCACGTTATGAGCTTCTGAAAAATCTCAATTTGCATGTGCTCAGTACAGACTTGTTAGTTTGGCAGCTAAATTCTCCGATTCCATATGCGCTGGGCATGCTCCAGCCCCTTGCCGCTCCTGTGTGTGACTGGCCTGTGCATGCACCATCCCCACAGAGCCACTCCGTTGGCACCATTCTGGAGCTGACCAGGACTTTCCCTTCCTTTGCTCCTCCTGGCAGCTGGGAGAGGTCAGGTGCCAGGGCTGAGAGCAGGGAATTGCCTCTCCTGTGCTCTCAATGCTCCCCCTGCTGGGTCCAGGGCAGGCAGAGAGAAGGGGAGGGAGGAGCAGCCTGCCTTGAGTGCAAAAGAGAGGAACGGGGGCAAGAAGCAGGGTGGGAGAGGAGGGATGGAAGCCTCAGAGGGAGGGCAGTTAGGAGCTGGCGCTGGGAGTGGGAAGGATGAGGAGGTACAGAGACAGGAATGGGAGCGAGGATGGAAGAGGAAGGGGACAGGGAGAGACTTGAGAAGACTAGGGCAGAATGGTCTGTGACCACTAGAGAACACTCCCCTCCAAAGTCTGGAATGGAACCCAGAAGTCCTGAGGACAGATCTACATGACTGCTTAAGTTGATCTAACTTACGTCACCCAGGGGTGTGAAAAAGACACCCCCCCCCCAAGCAACACAAGTTACAGCAACCTAAGCGCTGTCCACACCGGCGCTATGTCGGTGGGAGATGCTCTCCTGTCAACGTAGCTTCTGCCTCTCGCGGCGGTGGAGTAATTATTCTGACAGGAGAGCGCTCTTCCCTCATCATAGAGCGGCTTCACCAGACGCGCTACAGCGGTGCAGCTGGACTGATGTAGCGCTTCTAGTGTAGACCTGCCCTTAGTCTCACCACTATTTCACAGCCAAGAGCAGTGAAACCCACTGACAATGGGCGTGTCTCTAAATGTTAAGTTCACACCCCTCCCACACACACAAATATTTCTATCAATAATAATCTACATTTACAGAGAGGCAAAGTAAGAAACGTGCTGCTTGAGAATTTATTAGTCAAAATCCAGTGATTTCGACTTTTGAATTGCTACAAATGGCCTGGTGATTGAACAGTAAAAACAGGTCTGATTCATTCATTTAAGCTATTTATTTTGTGTATTTTGACGTGATGTTGACAGTTTGTGCTTTAACAGTTTCAAAGCTTTAACTTTTTGAATCTCAATGTTACTGTTATTAAATAATTGTCTGACTCCTCCCCCAATTTCCCATAACCGTGGAGATTTAAATCAATAAAAATAAAAAATAAAGCTTAAAAACAAACACTGATATCTGCAAAAATTATATAAAAAAACCCAAATTCTGCCAAGCCTAAAGAGAACAGTGTCTATTGCTACCAGTTACCCTGTTAACAGGGGCCTGTGCTGTGGATCTAAAGATCCCAGTCCTGCTGATGAAGTATGCAGGGGGAGTCAATATGCTTCACCATCATGATAGTTTCATTTTGTAACATTTTTGATGTATTTTTAAAATGTGGGAAATGACATTAAAAAAAACGATGTGAAAAGCAAGGTAAGGTTGCAATGTCAAGCACTCAGAAATTAGCAAATTCAAGAATCAAGGTTGTCTGTGCAACCTTAAGTTGGTCCAACTTGTATGTATTCATTATGATACAGTCTTTAATGACATGATCACATACTCTTTTTTCCCTGAAATCTTTGCCTCATTCATACACACCAGGGAGCTGAATTAAGGTTGTACAGGCAGTCAATATCAGACCTAGAGTTGGCTGAAAAATGGGAAAACAGTTTCATTAAAAAAATGAAATTCCAAATGTTTACATTTCTCAGAGTTTGAAAGACACTACGTTTTTTATTTTTTCATTTTTTGGTGAAATTTTTAAAATGCTTTTTTTAGACTGTTTTTGTTTATTGTGTTTCATTTTCAGTTTTTCCTTATTTCTTCCTTTCCTCTCTTATCCTGAGTTTTTCCTCTTTTTTCCCAATCATTTTTTAATATTTTTTCCAAAAATCACTGGAAAATGAAAGGCAAGAGGAAAAAGGAAAAAGAAAAGAAAGGAAAATCAGAAAAATGATAATGGAAATTATAAAAAAAAGTCAAAACAATCATAACATAATTTAAAACTGGCATGAACATTTTTGAAAGTGGACCATGTTTTGCAAAAATGTTGATTTCCAAAAAACGGTCACTTTTCAATTTTAAAAAATGTTGTTCAAACCCTTTTGACGAGCTCTAATCAGACCAGTAATTTAAAAAAATATTTTTAAGTACATCAGAAGCAGGAAGCCTGCAAAATACTCAATGGGGCCACTGGAAGATCAAGGTGCTAAAGGAGCACTCAAGAAAGATAAGGCTATTGCAGAGAAGCTAAATGAATTCTTTGTATCAGTCTTCACTGCAGAGGATGTGAGGGAGATTCCTGTGACAAATCTGAGGAACTGTCCCAGATTGAGGTGCCAATAGGGGAGGTTTATGAGCAAATTGATAAACTAAACAGTAATAAGTCACCAGGACCAGATGGTCTTCACCTAAGAGTTCTGAAGGAACTCAAATATGAAAATGCAGAACTACTAGCTGTTCTATACCAGCTTCTATACCAGATGACTGGGGGACAGATCATGTGACACCAAACTAGTTGAAATTATAGTAAAGAACAGAATGATCAGACACAGAGATGAATACAATTTGTTGGGAGAGTCAACATGGTTTTTGTAAAGGAAAATCATGCCTCATCAATCTCTTAGAATTCTTTGAGGGGGTCAATAAGCATGTGGACAAAGGTGATCCAGTGGACATAGTGTAATTGGACTTTCAGGAAGCCTTTGACAAGGTCCCTCACCAAAGGCTCTTAAGCAAAGTAAGCTGTCATGGGATAAAAGGGAAGGTCCTTTCATGGATTGGTAACTGGTTAAAAGATAGGAAACAAAGGGTAGGAATAAATGGTCAGTTTCCAGAATGGAGAGAGGTAAATAGTGGTGTCCCCCAGGGGTTTGTTCTAGGACCAGTCCTATTCAACATATTCATAAATGATCTGGAAAAAGGGCTATACAGTGAGGTGGAAAAATTTGCAGATGATACAGAATTAGTCAAGATAGTTCAGCCCAAAACAGACTGTGGGTCTCACTAAATTGGGTGACTGAAACAAGAAAATGGCAGATGAAATTCAGTGTTGATAAATGCAAAGTGATGCACATTGGAAAACATAATCCCAACTATGCATACAAAACGATGGGGTCTAATTTAGCTGTTGCCACTCAAGAAAGAGATCTTGGAGTCATTGTGAATAGTTCTCTGAAAACATCCACTCAATGTGCGGCAGCAGTCAAAAAAGCTAACAGAGTGTTAGGAACCATTAGGAAAGAGATCAATAATAAGACAGAAAATATCATAATGCCACTGTATAAATCCATGGTATTCCCCCACCTTGAATACTGCATGCAGTTCTGGTCTCCACATCGCATAAAAGATATATCAGAATTGGAAAAGGTACCAAGAAGAGCAACAAAATGATTACGGGTATGGAACAGCTTCTGTATGATGAGAGATTAAAAAAATGAGGTATTTTCATCTTGGAAAAGAGCGGACTAAGAGGGGATATGATAGAGGTCTATAAAATCATGACTGATGTGGGGAAAGTGAATAGAGAAATGTTATTTACTCCTTCTCATAACAGAAGAACCAGGGGTCACCCAATGAAATTAATAGGTGTAAAACAAACAAAAGGAAGTATTTCTTCACAAAACGCACAGTCAATCTGTGGAACTCGTTGCCAAGGGATGTTGTGAAGTTCAAAACTATAATGGGGTTAAAAAAAAGAACTAGATAAGTTCATGGAGGACAGGTCTATCAATGGCTATTAGACAGGATGGTCAGGGATGCAACCCCATGCTCTGGGTGTCCCTAGCCTTTGATTGCCAGAAGCTGGGAGTGGATGACAGGATGGATCACGCGATGATTACCTGTTGTGTTCATTCCCTCAGAAGCACCTGGCATTAGCTATGGTCATCAGACAGGATACTGGCCTAGATGGACCTTTGGTCTGAGATGGCTATTCCTATGTTCGTAAAAACAATAAAGGTTCCTATATGCAGGCTAAAAGCTTACCATAGATCAGCCCAGAGTCTCAAGGGGCCCTGGTAGGTTCAGCCCTTCCATGAGGATTGGGGCACCCTTGGACAGCAGGTCTTGGCCATTTATTGGATCAGAACAAAGAGTCTGGGTCAGTTTGCACTCCAGTTATTTGTACAAAGTCCTTCCTTTGTCAGTTGGTCTCTGGAAATCCAGTTTGAACCAGTATGCATGAGCCTGCGCAGGAAATGGTGCCTATATTGGGGGTTCCAACATGGCTGATTTGCCTTAATCCCCATCCACTGTTTGTGGTTCCTGGAGGAGCTGTGCAGCCCTGCCCCATGGAGTAGGACACAATCATACAGGAACCATTCATTTAAAGCAGTGGACCCCAAAGATACTGCATGGCATCACAACCTCTCCCCCTAGAAAGGTTACATACAATCCCAGCTTATCTGGGGGGAAGTGTATTGATACCCCCACTCCACCAGGGTGGACTTTTGATCCTCACATACTGAGTCAGGGTGTGCAGCAATTTTTCCTCCACTCATCTCAGGGTCTTATACATTTTCACAGACCATCAGGCAGTCATTGATTGTGGGAAGACATTCCCCCTTCTTCCTGGCTGGAGCTACCTTTGACGTCTCCCAAGTAGCTGTCATACACATTTCTTGGGCATTTCCCACCCTTGGGTGGGTGTCATAGATTTCTCTTCATGTCAGTAGGTCTCGTCCTTCTCCTGGAGAAGGAGGCTGTCTCACCCCCACTCTCTCCAGGAATTTGTCTGCATATACTGGGAAGATAACATAATTCCTCTTGGATACTGGCAGCAGGGATCCCCCCTTCCCTGTCAGACACCCTATTTGCATGTTGGCTCCACAGTCACTTGCAGGTGTGGCCCTAACTGATAGGGTCTGATCACTCCTTCTGCTTTCCAAGCAAACTACTGTGTACGTGTCTTGCTGCACCCTCTCAGGGGCAGACCCACTGGATTGCCGCTTGGAGCAGAAGGTGGTAGTCATTCATTGACTGGAGAGACACTGGGACTCCTAAAACAATAATTAAGCCCCATGTCATGAAATCCCATCAAATGCTCCCAAGGTGTGAAATCTGTGTTCAAGTTCCTGGTGTGACAGCCTTTGCTGTATGTACAAGAAAGATTTCTATCTAGACTCAGGAAGGGTTGGGGTTGGCTTAGGGTGTGTTGTTAGATATCCTGTATTCTTTGCTTTGGGGAAAGGATATTATGGCTTTAAAAGCAGAAGGGGTGAAGCAGAAGGACTTTTGGACAAATAGCCTGCATTTAAACTGACTCTGGGCCTGCTTTCTGATCCAGCAAAAGGATAGGACCTTCTTTCCAAGTGGGGGAAGGGCAATCTGTGGAAGGGTTGAAAGACCGTGACCTACTAAGTCCCATAAAACTGATAGGTGACCCTGGTAAGCACTTAACATGTGTGTAGGTTCTTTTATTGTTTTTATATGTTTTATTTGTGATGCTTTTACCTTAAAAATAAATGTGCTTGCTTAGAAGAAGCTGTTATCTGTCACAATTTACCATCAGAAAAAAGGGCTAAGCACACACTGAATGTTATTGACAACGAATAACAAGGTCAGCTCTGCTTCTTCTAGGCCACACATTCGACCTCCCCAGGCACTGGACTAACCCCACAAAACAAGAGTGTCTGAAATCAGAGCTAGAAATCAGAGCCAAAAAAAGGGAATTTCAGAGTATAGAGGCCAATTAAAGACTTGAGACCCAAAGACCTATATTTCAGGGTCACCAGAACTTCCTGTGTTGCTCGACTTCTGATCCTTGCCCAGGACTTGTGGAACTGATTGGTCAATGAGACCTGTCTCTGCAAGAATGAGCTGCAAAAGTCTATGTTTATCCTTTGTTGTTCCTTGCAGAGCATCCACCTGTCCTTCCTGCGCACTGTCCCACCGTACTCTCACCAGTCCAATGTCTGGTTTGAGATGATGCGAGTGTACAACTGGAATCACATCATACTAATAGTCAGTGATGACCACGAGGGTCGCGCTGCACAGAAGAAGCTGGAGACGCTCCTGGAAGAGAGAGAATCCAAGGTCAGTATCTAAACATTGTCATGTAATTTTGTTAAAAAACAACAAAACTAGAAGTCTCAGGCTGTTGTATGTATGTAGATTTCTGTATGTAAAACACCTTTTCTTTCCATTGTAACATGGCTAACATTATGCTTAAAGCATCAACAGTGTCTGACTAGTACCTGACAGAACTTTGTACTTTATTCATTTCACTTGCTTTGCCATGGTCGAAATCTCCTACGTGTAAATCAACTACAAAATGAAGGGAAGAATAACCTGGAGCTCTGCAAATACTTCGCCCGGGCGATTCCCACCTAGGGAGAGAACCAATCGCACAGCTTAGGAAAAGCACCTCTCCCCTTTGACGCTTCCCTAGGGTATACAATGCAGACTTGGCAACGCTAATTACCAAACCGAGCCAGAAGAGCAGCTTTTTAATTGGCTAATTGGCACTTGCTTTGTGGCTTAGGAGGGAAAGGGCAGTCAGTGTGTTACTGCACAGAGGTAGAAAGCGCCCTCTCTACACAGCTCTCGGCTCTTTGGCTGTCATTATAGGCCCTACCCCATCTTCATTGAAGCACATGCTAAACACACTTTCCTGACATGCCCCATGCTGAAAATGAGAGTAAGTTTGTGGCTTCTGAGAGCAGGTGCACTGCCCCCATTTTCAGTGTTAAGCAAGGGGGCAGATAGCTACGTCCAGCGTGGGCATGTCTGAGTCATCTGCGGCTAGTGGGAGCCTGGGCCAATAGGACAGCTCTGTTCCTAAGGTTAAAACTGAGCAGGCACATACAAGACAGGAAGCCCCTCGACTGCACGCTTCCTCTGAGCAGTTTGAAGGGAAATTTTTTAACTAGAAGATGCGGAGCCTCCTCCATGACTGGATGGTGGAAGTGATAGTTCTCACCCGCACTCAGGGGTACGAGGTAACAGTCTCGGGTCCGTTTCAGGTAGGAAACATCCAAGCCTCTCACACTGTGGGAGCTTCCCAGAGAAACCTTGTAAAGCAGCTACACTTCCTGCCTACCGGGCAATCCCTGTGCGTGGTGCCTCTGGAGCCTGCCATGTATCACTGGCAACACCTGTAATTTTTAGGATCTAGACATAGCAGCAGGTGCTGGGCGGCCAGCCAGATGTGGCAGAGTGGGTTGTTGATTGGCAGACACAGCTGCAGACATTGCTTGGTGAGTCTGCTTAGAATCAGAGAGACCTTTGAGTTGGGAGGCACCTCTTCTGGCTCATCTAGCACATGCCTACTTCTGCAGCGGACCAGCTACCTGTGGGCCATGCCTGAGAGATGGGTGCATGCTCTCAGCATGGGGTATCCCACTGATGGGTCCTCTGGCCGTTTCTTCCATGGCCCAAATGGCTCGTAGAGTCAAACATTTCCCCCGAATAGGAAGCCCAAGGGTTCCTTGCTGCAGCACAAGTCTCAGAGACTCGTAGACGTTAAGGTCAGAAGGGATCATCATGATCATCTAGTCTGACCCCCTGCACATCGCAGGCCTCACCCAATCCTGAAATAGACCCCTAGCCTCTTGCTGAGTTACTGAAGTCCTCAAATCATGGCTTAAAGACTTCAAGTGACAGAGAATTCACCATTTACACTAATTTAAACCTGCAAGTGACCCTTGCCTCATGCTGCAGAGGAAGGTGAAAACCCCCCAGGGTCTCTGCCAATCTGACCTGGGGGGAAATTCCCAACCCCAAATATGATGATCAGTTAGACCCTGAGCATGTGGGTGAGACCCACCAGCCAGACATCTGGGAAAGAATTCTTGGTAGTAACTCAAAGCCCTCCCCATCTAGTGTCCCGTCTCCAGCTGTTGGGGATTCTTGCTACTGGCAAAAATTGCTGCTTACTCTGTTCTCGGTGAGTAGCGCTGACTCAGACTCTGACTTGGAATGGCATTTTATCTCAGACCTCCTCCACTGGGTCCAACCCACCCTCCTCATTATGTTCCTGCCCTCCAGTACTGACGGCTTTGGAAGAGTCACTGCCACCCTTATTCTGAGTCAATGTGTTCGTGTCCCTAGACTCACCCTACAACTTCCATGTCCACAACCTGTACTATTCTCTCTCAGTTCCCCCACTCCCTGCTGTTTCCTGCACTGTCCTTTGGATCAGCAAAAGAACATGACACTCACTCACGGCCATATTCTGGTACTTTGTGTCCTCTTAGGCCCCAGGGGTACTGCCCCAGTTCTGTGTCATCACTTGTGAAGGAGAGCCACTGAGAGCATGGGGTGGGGGTGGAGGTCTATGTGGTGGCCTGCACTGTGTTCGAGCTGAATACATGACATCCCCTGCTGCTATAGACGCCCTCCTCTAGATGCTGGAACCAGTTTCCTGGATGATAGGTCTCCTTCTCCTTTGCCTCTTCTTTGGCAACTGCCAGGCCATCTCGTTCCCTTGTCCTTTGCTGTGGACTAGACATGAGCTGGCAAGGTTTCCATTGATCCAACCAGCTGCTGTGATATGTGGGTCACTCTAGAAGCTGGCTGATAGATTCCAAGGCCAGAATGGACTCTTGTGATTATCTAGACTGACCTCCTGCATAAACTAGGTGATATGTAGGGTTTCTTCACCTCTTCCCCAGTCTCTTCTGGTTCTGATTGCCCCTTTGATCACAGAGGGTTTGATCCCTGGGCATTTAATGCACCTGAACCTTTGTCCATTTCCTTCCTTTCCATGACCTCAGCCGTGCCCTAGTCCTTTCCCCAACCATATGGTCAGACTGAACATTGATCTGGCGCAGAACAGTGAATGAGCAGAAAGGAGAAGCTGCCGCCATCCACTTGCGGAAGGCTGGGTATTCATGGTGATTGATCACTGTAAAATTCCTTATCTCTAACTCCACCTTCCCTTGTTCTTGGGGACTGAAACCGTTGGTGGTAGGAATAGGATTTCCTGTTACATCTTACCTGACAGCCTCAGAGAGTCCAGTCAGGCTCTGGGCGTTACCCAAACACTGTTTTGGTGGTTTAATAATTTTAGCACAGGCATTTATGCCCAGCATTCCTATCCAGTGCTGAATTCTCTGTGAACAGCTGGATTTCAGGTTTGGTTCAAGCCCATCTCCAGTGACTATCAGCCTGATCTGGCTACTGTTTGTCAGGCTGAGGAGCTCTGCCTTCTGCAAGCAGCCTAAGCCATTTCAATTAACACTTGAACACTAGCCAGTGTTTATTAGAAATTGTTCAAGATTGCAATAAAGGCCCCAAAGTACATTTGCGTTGCTAAGTGACTCTGTGCTGACTGCGTCCTGGCCTTGCTGTGCTTCTGTTCCGCGAGTGTGCCAGCAAACCAGAGCACCGGGCAAACCACAGCTCCTAAGCAAATGCTGGAGACTAGTTGTGGAACGTGAATTTTTAATTTCTGAGCATGAGTCTTTGCCTCAAATGCCTGATACTAAGAGATACACTCACCCAATCAGGAAACAGACATGGGACCTACAACCCATGGGTCCCAGCCAAACATTTTACATTTCAAATATCAAATACATGCTGTAGACTCGGGACTGTACAGACATTATTTCATTACGTTAGTTAATTAAAGACCATGACAATCAGCTCGTGGACAATGCACAAAGAGGTGCAATCTGCTCATTTGGAATGATTTGTGTAGCTTTGCTGTTCCATGGGGAGCCCAGCAAGAGCCCTTGGGAACCAGAGCAGCTAACAAGATAACTGATAGAAACTAGGGATGGGAAAGACGGGGGTTGCAGGCTTGTCACAGCATTTTTGATCAAAAATCACCGAACAGTTACAGTAAATTTAGTAAAAGTCAAGGCTTTAGAGGGAAATGGTGTGTAATGTCATCAGAATGCCATTTAAAGTGGGGGGGGGCATATAGGGGAGGGTCCGGTCCTGCCCCCCTGGGGAGTGAGAGGAGCTGGGGGTGGGTAGCAGAGGGACCCTGCCCTGCACTCACCTGCAGTGGTGGCTCCTGTTCCTTGGGGCTTGCCTGGCTCCCCTCCTGCCATCCCCCCAGCATGCAGGCATGGCCCTCCCCCCACGATGCCTCCTTCCTGGCCCCGGCGCTAATGAATCACCTGCCCTACGCTGGGATGGGTTGGAAAAAGTGGTTGGGCCATGGCCTGCGTGACACCCCCCTTCCCCCCCAGCTGTACAGCCTATGAAATCACGGATACAAAGAAAAATCCTAGACACAAAGCAAAGTCCCAGACAAACTGAAAATTCACAGCACCCATGACATTTCTGCCACCATGGCAAACCTGTAGCTCTAGGAATGTCTCATTAGGTCCCATCTTGTCTAGCGCCGGTAGGCCCAGGATAGAATCGTTCCCTCCTCTCCAATCTCTTGTCCAGTCCACTTCTAGGACGCCACCGCTATGCATGTGCACAAGGTCATTCAAGACTGGAAAATAAAAGAAATAGGAAACACGGGAAGCTCGAGTGCACTGCTGAATAGCTGCTGCCTGAGTGAGAGGACCAACACATCTGGAAGGGAGTGACTATTTCATTGCCTCCTGCCCCCCAGACACGGCTTGTCTCTGCTGTAATGCTGCCCTGTCTCCCTGTGCCAAGTGATACGATGAGACACTGAGAAGATGCACTGGAAATTCCTACCATGGACACCAGTAGAAGGAGCCTGAAACGACGACAGAATTGGGCTCAGAGTATATTTCATTTCCTCAGATTCTTTTCTACAATAGATGCAGTTCCTGTCTAACATTCTAGATTCTTGCCTGATTTATTTGGAGGAAAGAACAGGGAGGAGAAAGGCAGTGGAAGGGCCCATCCTTTCACTGTATAGCGCCTGCAAGCATTGTACAGGCAGGAGAAATAGCAACAAGTCTTTAAAAGAAGCATCTCTCAGAGCAGAGAGAGGGAGACAATCAATGCCGTTTGCAAATCAAGATGCAGAGATGAAAACAGATGCATGTTTAAGGAATAACTTGGGGGAAAATGCGTTACTTCTTCACTTTTTGGTAGACGCACGGCAGATCCCCATCAGGGATTTCGTTCTACAAGAGACTATGCTGGAAAATTTGGAAGAAGATTTTGAACCCCCCAAAGTCCAGAAGTGTTCAGATCTAGAGGGCATGGGTTAAATCCAGCTCTAGCTTTAATACAACTCTGCCTTGATCCTGCATGCACTAGCAGTTGTAATGTTTACCAGCACGAGCACTGGCTTCCCCAGGTCTTATGCACTCTGCTCTGTACTAAGCTGTTGCAGGATCCAGCCTTCTGGGTGGTGTGTCCTTTTGCAGGTAATCTGTAGGGAAGGCAAGCTCAGAGGGAAGTCCCATGCCACTGGCTGCTTTGAGACTGAGCATTCTGAGGCTGAGAATGGGAAGTTGGTCAATGCTCTAACTGAAAATGAGGGAGGGATGAACTCTTCTCCCCAACTTACGGTCAGGGCTTTTATCCACAGTGCCTGTCCTGCACCTGATCACACCTAGCGTTCCCACCGAGGTCAGGGAGAGCTCCCCAGGTGTGCATGGCAATAGTAATCCACAGTGCCAGGCAGAGAGAACCATTTTCTACTAGATCTGGATTTTCCAAGGGCAGGTGCCCATTTTGTAATTGGATTCCCAAAGTGTGTTTTGGTGACCTGCCCTCCTGCCTTCCCCCGGGCAGCAGGTAAAGGCTGGCATGTCATCCCGTGATCACCATTGCTTCCACATTGTCACGCTTTGATCCAGAACAGAGTAGAGCAAGTGTTTCTCTCTCTTTTGGGTGAGAGCAAAGTTCCACAAAGCTCTCCAGTCCCCTCAGCAGACGTGAAGTCCAGACAGACATTTCACTTTCAATACTCACTCAGGGTGAACATGACTGTAATCAAATAAGAATAATAAAAGTTCATCAGCATAACACCTGGCATGTAGCTAGCACTTTTCCATACCGAACAGTTTGTCCTTTTGGTCTTCCACAATAATTTTATGGACTTACAGCAGCCTAAGCCCTTATAGACACGTAAATTGTCTCTGAATTTAAGATATGCATTTCATGCTGAAAAAAATCCCTTCTCCTCCATGGGAACATACAAGTGCATTGCACCAGCCAGGAGGTTCAGGCTTGTTCTAATAAATGTGGCTTTTCAACTCAAGGTTTTCACAAGAGCCCAGACGCTCTCTCCTATTAGTAGTGGTTTTTGCGAGCTCCAGCGTTATAGAGCCCTTTAGCAAACAGTGGAGGAGGAGGTGGATGTTGGATTGCTTTACTACACGTCATTTTCAGCTGTTTATAATATTCTTCTGTGTCTACATATTTTCTCTGTGCACATTATTCATCAGAGTAAAAAAAGGAACTATGAAAACCTCGACCAACTTTCCTATGACAACAAGCGAGGACCCAAGGTATATTTGCATGGACATGCACGCCGCCCACCAATCTAACTAGCCAATGGCAAATAGCCACAGCCACCAAAAAAAAAAAAGAAAGAAAGAAAAGAGATCCATGACTATGTTTCTTGGTAGCACGTTTTTATGTTGACATAGTTTTGGTTTGAACTTGAGAATGGAAATCTAGCCAGCTGACCCCAGAAGGATTACTTTTGGAGACATGCATGTGAACCAGTAATTAACTTGCAAGTTTTTCTTTTTGAAAACTGAACTGACCCCCTTTCCTCCCCAAAGGAAATGGTCCCTTGGTGTAAGATGCTCACTTTTACTCCCAAAGGTTAACCCTGTGCAATATTTTTTTTTATTTCCCATGTTTTTGAAAAACAACACTCGTTTGAGTTTTCAATTGCATTTCAAAAGCCTTTTTCTCTTTCCTGTACAATGCACGCCTCTTTTTGGGTCTTGATTGACTTCAGTTTGCATGCACAGTGCAAAACCCCCCCCAAAAAGCAAACAAACAAAAAAACCTAAAACAGAAAAGAAAGAAAGAAAAGCAAAGAAAGAAAAGAAAAGAAAAAAGAAAAAGAAAAAACCTAGTTACCCTCCATATCTAGCCGAGCTGTATACAGTTTAATGAATTCTCTTGAACCTTTTCTAGATAGAATGGCTCTCACCAGCAAGCATTAGGCCACTGCACTAACCGGCTTTGCTCACACTAATCACAGGCTGAGAAAGTTCTTCAGTTTGACCCTGGAACCAAAAACGTGACTTCGCTGCTGCTTGAGGCGAAGGAGCTGGAGGCTCGGGTTATCATCCTTTCTGCAAGGTAAGGAAATGAGCGTCTGATTTTCCTGTCTGTCTTCTGCTTCAGCCCTTCACAGATGGGCACATATGTTACACCGCTGTGCTGCTACATTCCCATTGAAACAAGGGATATGTCAGAGGACACCTGGTCCTTCAAGATAAGTCTGCAAGAAGTAGCCCATGGATTTGCCAGTAACAAGATGGTTAAGTATGAGAGAAAATCCAGAGAGACCACTCCATTGCATACAGATCTAAAGCATCTTTCATGTGCTGCTGTGGTTCTCTCATTGGGAGAGGTGGTCTGTATTATTCTGGGGCATGGTAAAAGTGAATTCCACTGTGTTGTAGAAATATAGTGTTGTTGATAATAACAGTAATAGTCATAAGAACATAAGAACGGCCATGCTGGATCAGACCAAAGGTCCAAGACAGTATCCTGTCTTCCAACAGTGGTCAATGCCAGGTGCCCCAGAAGGAATGAACAGAACAGGTAATCATCAAGTGATCCATCCCCTGTCACTCATTCCCAGCTTCTGGCAAACAGAGGCTAGGGACACCATCCCTAATAGCCATTGATGGATCTATGCTCCATTAACTTATCTAGTTCTTTTTTGAACCCTGTTATAGTCTTGGCCTTCACAATATCCTCTGACAAGGAGTTCCACAGGTTGACTGTGCGTTGTGTGAAAAAATACTTCCTTTTGTTTGTTTTAAACCTGCTGCCTATTCATTTCATTTGGTGACCTCTAGCTCTTGTGTTATGAGAAGGAGTAAATAACATTTCCTTATTTACTTTCTCCACACCAGTCATGATTTTATAGACCTCTATCATATCCCCCTTAGCTGTCTCTTTTCCAAGCTGAAAAGTCCCAGTCTTATTAAGCGCTCCTCGTATAGAAGCTGTTCCATACCCCTCATCACTTTTGTTGCCCTTTACTGAACCGTTTCCAATTCCAATATATCTTTTTTGAGATGGGACGACCACATCTGCACACAGTATTCAAGATGTGGGCGTACCATGGATTTATATAGAGGCAATATGATATTATTATTATTGTCTTATTATCTATCCCTTTCTTAATGATTCCCAATATTCTGTTTGCTTTTTTGACTGCCGCTGCACATTGAGTGGATGTTTTCAGAGAACTATTCACAAGGACTCCAAGATCTCTTTTTTGAGTGGTAACAGCTAATTTAGACCCCATCATTTTATATGTAGAGTTGAGATTATGTTTTCCAATGCGCATTACTTTGCATTTATCCACATTGAATTTCATCTGCCATTTTGTTGCTCAGTCACCCAGTTTTGTGAGATCCTTTTGTAGCTCTTCGCGGTCTGCCTGGGACTTAACTATCTTGAGTAATTTTGTATCATCTACAAATAGTGATATCCTTAGACCTTCTATAGCACCCGTCATCTGAGGATCTGCAAGCATGTTAGTGACATTTATTAACGAAGCTCCCAAGCGCCCTGTGAAGTAGGGAGGTTTGATGAGCTCTGTGTGTCCAGACAGGGAACAGAGACACAGCAGTGGGAAAGTGTCACACATCAAATGGCAGAGTATAAGGCAGTCATGGCTACCTTGTAGGTCTAGAAGATTCATCCCAGCCTTAGCAGAAAGTGCTTGTGGCCTCTGGGGAGTATGAGGAATTGTCTGACAGGGATTTGACATGACCAGTTATATGAAAGAACAGGACAGCAGCTGCCCACGAAGGAAATGGCCCTGCGTTCATGGTGTCTGAGGGCTTGTATTGCTCATGCCGGTGATGAGAGACAGAGAGACACCTTGTCCGCCTTGACCTTCACCCACTCGCCAGTGCTCAGCTCTCCCTTCTGCTACCTGCCCCAACTCCCAGGATTTTCCTTCTCATAGGCCTCGTGCCCTGGCACCTCCTCTTACTCCCACTTTTCTTTATCGATAATTGCTCTGGCTGGTCTCCCTGTCCCCATCTGCACACATGCATTTCCCCGCTTCTCTCATCTCCACCTGCCAATACTGAAGTTACTCTCATCTGCTGACAGTGAAACATACACTGAGAAGGAAACAGGAAAGTCTCAGCCAAGGGTTTGGTCCCATCCCGTGGCTCCAGATATGGGACCCAGTTTTCCTGGAGGCATCTTCACCATTGTCTGCAAAGCAGCCTCTCTGATCACCTTTCCCTAAGTGCACGGGGAGATGCGAGCTGAGCCGAGGACAGCACCTTGTGGGCCAGTGAGCAGGCAGTGCCCCAGCTTGGCACATTCACTAGAGACCTCTGTCATGTACCATATGTGGACTGGTTACAGAGCTTCCACCCCAGAGAAAGATGTGTGAGATTTGTACCTTTAATATGTGTCAGTGCCCTGCCAGTGATGGCTGCTCTCAGCATGGATAAGGTAAGTTACACATGGTGCCACCTAGTGGCTGAACAGTATAAGAACAGTTTAACATTTCATTCCATTTGCTATTTTACTCTTCTACCATTACATAATTATGCTATCTTTGCAAGTTCAGTACAGATCATGGTGTTAAGTGTATTTGAATCAGACTGGTTTTCTTATTACATGACAGGAACACATAACAGCTTGGTCATCTGTGTGTACATTAGTTGAAATGACTTTCTCTGGTTGGTTTCAGAGTAGCAGCCGTGTTAGTCTGTATCCGCAAAAAGGACAGGAGTACTTGTGGCACCTTAGAGACTAACAAATTTATTAGAGCATAAGCTTTATTAGAGCATAAGCTTTCGTGGGCTACAACCCATTTCTTCTGGTTGGTTTGGAGTCTCTGAATATTCTTCTTGTTGTTCTGCATCCGCCATCTGTAAAGTTTGCTCTATTGACTGTTCTTTCTGAGAAACAAACCGTAGAGGTTGACAGTTTCTGTTGAACTCTCAACTGTCATTCTCAGTCACATATGATCTGGGCAATGAATTCTTTTTCTTTACGACAGCTGGAGTTTTCCATTCTTTTTCTCCATTTAGTTTGACATAAATGTGGTCACCAGTTCTAGGCCCAGCAGTTCTCTAACTGAGTGGTGTCTCTTATCAAAATATTCATAAGCTCTTTTTGCCTTTGTAGCTGATTTGGCTACTCTCTTCATGTCTGGCCACTTTGGAGATAGGTTCTTTTCCAAAGTCAGAACAGTAGTTCTGAGCTGCCATCCCACTAGGAGTTGTGCTGGACTATATCTAGTAGATATTACCAGTGTTGATCTGTAACTCAGAAGAGCAAGGAATGGATCTTTCTGCTATAGGATTTTCATGGCTGTCTTTACAGCTCTCTCAGCCTTTCCATTTGCTTGTGGGTAATGTGGGTTGCTAGTAATATGACCAAAATCAGATTTCATTTGGAATTACTTTAATTCTGCTTCAGTGAACTGTGGTTCATTGTCCATCACTAGTTGTTCTGTAATACCAAAATAGTTCTTGATTGTCTGTACTATAAGTTAACTCCCTGATTGCTTTGATGCCGCAAACAACTGCAAAATATCCGTATTTCGTGCATTTTTTACATCTTGCACCTTTGGCTGGACCTACATCTCTTGGGCTATGAATTTTTCCATATCTTGTGCATTGAGTCTGAAATACCTTGTAGTTAGCCTGGAATTTGTCCTTCTTAGCCTCAGGGAATCTTCTGATAATTACTTTTAGCACTCATGATGCTCTGTTTACAGCTTCTAAGCTAGTTTCTTCTTTTTCAAGTTTGGCAAGTTGCTCTTGGTTTTTCTGTTTCACCAGCTCAGACTGCTTTGCTATTTAAATAGCTGTGTGTATGGTTAGGTCTGTTTTTAAATAGTAACTGCTGTGGAAGATTTTTATCTACAAGCTCTAAGACTAATCTGTCTCTGATATTTTCATACTTTACAGTCTCAAAATCAAAGTTTTATGTCAATGCATGTAAAGCTCTGATAAAACATTTGACAGATTCTCCTGGTTGTTGAATTCTCTGGTGAAATCATGCCCTTTCATAAATCACATTTTTCTGAGGTTTAAAATGTGCATCAAACATAGCCATAGCCCTTTCATAGTCATCTTTGTGACCGTCTCCTATAAAGGTAAAAGATTCAGAGATATGCTGTGCTTGCTTCCCCATAGCATACATTAAGGAGGATACCTGAAAGTCACCAATTTCCTTGTGGAGTTTGGTTGCAATGTGAAATCTTGCAAAATACTGCTTCTAATCTGTCCATTTTGAAAGTCTGTCAAATATGAAGCTCTCTGGGGCATTGAAGAGTGAGTGTCATGTTGATTAGATCCTGCAACATTTGTTGCTTTTTGTTTACTTCTGTTTGCAACATTTGTTCCTGGTTCCCTTCTGTTTCTGTTTTCCTCTGGCACCAGTTCAACTGCCTTCACTTCTGACACCACGTCATGTACCAGATATGGACTGGTTTCAGAGCTTCCACCTCAAAGAGAGATACATGAAATGTGTACCTGTTACAATACTTAAATGCATTGCCAGCAATGCCTATGCTCAGCATAGATAAGGCATGTTTCACATGTTGTCACCTAGTGGCTAAACATTATAATATGTTTAACATTCCACTTGAAACTTCTCTGAGCTATGTGAAAGGGACACTACCCTCCCTAGAGTGTCTCTCTCTACTGCCTTTAGTACTGTCCACCACTCTCTTCCCTGCCCCTATGCTCTTGTGGTTCTTCATTGCCTTTGGTGGCTTTTCATTTCCCTTCTGCCTCTTGTCTGTTTGGTGCCATTCAGAGTCCTCTCCTCAGAGACTCATAGACTTTAAGCCCAGAAGGAACATCATGATAATCTAGTCTGACCTCCTACACATTGCAGGCCACAGAACCTGACCCATCCATAACCATAACCCCTAACCTCTGGCTGAGTTACTGAAGTCCTCAAATCATGATTTAAAGACTTGAAGTTACAGAGAATCCACCATTTGCACTAGTTTAAAATTGAAAGTGACCCATGCCCCATGCTGCAGAGGAAGGCAAAAAATCTCCTGGGTCTTTGCCAATCTGACCGTGGGGGAAATTCCTTCCTGACCCCAAATATGGTGGACAGTTGGACCCTGA